TGGAGACCACAGCGGCAGCAGCAATAGAAACTGCAGCTGTGGAGACCACAGCGGTGGAAGCGGCGGCGGTGGGAACCGCAACAGTGGGAACTGCATTAGCAGCAGATGAACAAGCAGTGACAGGACGAGCAGCAGAGGCAACTTCCGTAGCAGAAACTGCTGGAGTGAAACCCGAAGTTGAAACAGCAGCAGTAGAAACTGCAGCAGTGGAGACCACAGCGGTGGAAGCGGCGGCGGTGGGAACCGCAACAGTGGGAACTGCATTAGCAGCAAATGAACAAGCAGTGACAGGACGAGCGTGATGTGGGGATAAAGAAGAAAGTGGGTGATGCAAGGACCATCGCAGCATGCGTCGGAACCACTGAGAGAGACGGGTGACATGTGTAGGATAGCGACGTTGGCGGGAGCGTGTGTAGCAGGTCCATCCTTTAGCGAGGGTTGGTGGGGAATGGCCACGAGAAAGCATGCGACKAGTGAGTGTTGTCGCTGCAGTTCGGAAGTCCTGCCAATTATTGCAGATGCGTTCAAATCTVGTCAATTGCCCAGTGAACACACCTGCCGGTTGATGGGAAGGGATGTTGGAGGTAGCACTTGGATAGCGAATAACAGGGAAATCCCAAGCAGCCGCTTTATCAAACACGCTCATGCGAAGCGAACCATCAGAACSTACTCGTAGATGCATACCTAAAAAGGTACACGAGCCATCTGTAGCCRTAGTTTCCTTCCACTCAAGYCCATAGTGCTCTGAAGGAGGAGGTAATTGCCCCCATGAAAGAACATCATCAATGAGGCGGTAAGTGAAGGCGTATCGCTGAGCAGCTTRGGGATCATGTTGACGAATGTCATCAATAAAGCGTGCTTCATCCCAATAGAGCGTYAGATTGGAAATTTCTGGGCCAGCATTTGTTCCCATTGGAATACCAATGATTTGCTTTCGAAGAGTGCCATCTCTAGTGTACAGAAAAGTGTTTTTTTTTTTCTTTTTTCTTTTTTTTTTCTTTTTTTTCTTTTGGCTAGGGAGCCAGGGGCCGACCTGCGCAGACGGCGCGCGGCTCCGCCTGGCCGTGGCGGGGCCGCGTGCAAACTCGGCCGCGTGGCCATGGGGTCGCGGCTTGCCTCCTCGGCCGCGGCCGAGGCCATGGGGTCGAGGGTGCCACATAGGTTACATGAAATGCCAGTGAAGCCGCGCCTATTTCCTAAAGCCCAATTAGAATTGAAAAGTTCAAAAAACAATTATGTGCGTGTAATCTGAAACGCGCGAATTCCTACACCTACTCCTATTCCATCATTCATCAACAAAAAATCTACGGGGCTTGTAGGGGCACCTCTACAAGTGTACATGGACCAAGAAAGGACTCATTGCCAAGTAGCCCAATAGGCACCCATGATTTCCGGATTCAAGAAAACTTGAGCAAAATTTTTTTGACTGCGCTCGCTAAGGCTCACATAAATCCTACGTAAAAGGACAAACACAACGGACATCCAGAAAACTGCAGAAACAAAAATGCAAAATTTGGACGACAAAATTGGCCGACATGTCCCATGCATCGGAATCCATCAAGGACAAGCCCTGCGAACAGTGAGAGACCGAATACCATGACCGAGACGATCTAAACCCAACATTGCCATCCGCCGAAAGTGCAACCTGGACCGGGTAGAGGAACTAGAACGAGATCGTCCCCGATTACTCAGAGAGCACACAAAAAAAAAGAAGGGTGCTCAGGCTCTCGAACATGCTCAGAAGTTGGTGTGTCATGTATGTGACGCTCAGAGGGTTCCAAAAATTCTGCGATCTCCTGATTGCATGCACTCAAGTCATCATAAAAAGATCCAAAGAGAAAGATAGGAGGGAGGGAGATAGAAGAGACTAATTCCAACCACAATTCCAAGCTTGGTTTCTCCTACGAAGGATAGGAAATCCATCGGAGCAAAATCCTTTCCACGTGGACTGGTTTTGATCCCAATCCTTCATCGCCTCTATTTGTATGGAATGCACCAAGCTAACAGATCTCATGCTTTTCCAGAGCCGATCATTGAGGAGGGAGGAGAGGAAGGACTATACCATTTGTTGCATCGCCATCACCAAGAGCTTGCATCTGTACGAGGAATCAGTCCTCTCGTGGCAATCCTTGCTTCATGGGCCGGAACCCTTCCCGATCCTGCTTTGGCTCTATTGGCCAGAATGTAGCAAGCTCAACCTGCCGTACCTGCACAATCAAAAAGAAATGACAAATCTGGACAAAGAAGAGAGATTATCGGTGATAAAGATCGCAATCATGAGTGTCTGGTTGTCTTCCAGATGACACCATCATGGTCTCGATCCTACAAAACATCAAGGTAAGAACGGAGGAGGCCTCTCAGAAGACAAGAGGTCTGCCTGAAGACTGAAGACCACTGCAAGAATGGATCAGAAAGGCGGTTGGACAAAGAGGTCACGCGACTTCAACTCGGCACTCCAAGGGTACTGAACAAACATAGATTGCTTAAGCGATCCTCTGGCACTAAGAGACCAAGTACTTACATCATGATGTTCTCAAACTTTTGTCATCTTTGCAAATTTCTGTCGGCACATATCATAGCGTGGGAGTAGCGACCGCACCATGCGTTGGATAGTTTTTCTCATGAAACGTTTTTGAGTTAAAGGGTTTTTCATTGAATTTAAGTTTTTGTGGACACTAGATAGTACGTCAGGCTTCAACCTGATGCTGGACCCGGTTTCCAGCACGTGCTGCTCCCCACGAAGAGATTGGAGCATTTGTTCAAAAAAAAAAAAAAAAAAAAAAGATAGTACGTCAGGCGGGAACCTGCTCACAGCTGGCAGGCACCATAGGGCGAGCTAAATTTGACTACTTAAGGATGCGATTGGGAAGGATGCACACAGTGTACATATCCAAGTCCAATCTATAGCACAGGCAGTAAAGCCTTGGTGAACAACCAAATGACACGACTCATAGAGGAGAGGACGGGGAAGGAAAGGAAAGATGGAGAAGAAAGGGGGGGGAGGAGAGGAGGGGGAGACAGAGAGGGAAAGAGAGATAGATAGAGAGAGAGAGGGGTAGGAGAGGAGAGAACTCGCACAGACGCAGCCTCTTAGCGCAAGTAAATCAGGAATTCGAAAAAATAATGAGTGAACATCGAGAATTCCTGTCATGGACGTCCTACGTCGCGTTTCGGCTGTGTCCGCTTACAGCCATCGTCAGGGGACTTCAAAAAAATGCGCTAAGGAACTAGCTGCTTACCATTCTGGGGAGAGGTATCCATCATGTCCCATAGAGCCGTGACTGCCGGCGCTGCAACACCCGAACCGAGTCATCATTCTGAAGCACAGTAGCGGAGGAGAAACGTGGAATAAAGCGGGAATAGAGAACACGGGAACAGACAAGGAGGGATGGCAGAAAATCAGAGGAAGCGGACGGAGAAGGATTGGGAGAGCTGGAAGATAGTAAGTGCTGAGCGGGAGATAGTAGGCACGGAATGAAAAAACGAGGAATAAGGACAGAGAATGGGACGCTGAAGGACTATATGTCATCGGGGAGGGTTACAGAGGATTCGTGATGGTGCTTCTGGAAGAGTAGATGCGGGAGCAAGCAGCGTGAGGGTGATGTCAGGGGTGCAAGACTGGAGCATAGGACAAGGCAGATCAGATTCTTTGTCAGGCCAGATTTCTTGCTCGAGAGTGCATGGACAAAAAACGTTAAGTAGAGGACACTCAGCCAGATTCAGAGACGGAGATTTGAATAGAAGCTGGTTCAGCTAAGGGGGTCTAAAGCCCGTAGGATGGCGAGCCCGCGTTCGCCTACGAGGCCCCGTGCCCAGGCCAATTTCAAAGATGTCTACCCACATTTCCCAACACCCACCCTTAAGTGCGGAAAAATTACACAAAGCGTCGTCAAAGATTTTCCGCGAGAGCCCTTTCAGACGTAATTCTTTTCTCAAAGCCAGCAGCACTACTCCCACTCCTCTATTGTCTGAGGAGTGGGAATATATTCTGTTGAGATGACCCTTCACCACGCCCTTCTTGTGGTTAACTGGTCCATATGACGTGAAATCTTGCGTAGATAGAATCTTGATGGGGAATTCGCTCCAGATAAAGTCCTGATTTTTAGTAACAGCCGTACATCAGACTGCAGGAGGTACCTGTGAACAGTTAATATTGCATCCCAGAAAATCCCAGCAACCATCATAATTATCAGTCCTAACCAGGGTTAAATTGTTATCATATGAGAGCTCAAACTGACGTATGATCTCAGTTGCCTTTATTTTTGCCGCGTGGTCTTTTCATGGTAGTAAGATGAAAACACTGACATCATCAACTAGCCGAAGTCCAGTATTGTAACGCGCATCCGCACCCATAGAGTTGAGAAACTATATCTCGTTGAAAGAACAAAGAAGGCATGCAAGAGCTGGACTGGAACATTTACCCATGGGTATTCCGATTGTTTGTTTTATTATCAGTGTCGAAACACAAGAGTAGGTGTTTGCTAAGTCATATCTGACAAATTCCAAGATCTGCTTCATTCTAATCAGTACCCACCCACTATCCCCGCTTCCCCTGCTAAAAGTAGCTCCTTTACCTTGTTAAGGATGCGGGCGGACGCCCCAAAAGCAGACTGAGTAGAGAAGGTCTGTGCGCAAGTGGTGCTGTAACTATGTGGTTACGCTGTGAGATGTGAACTTCGAACTGCATTGTTAATTGAGCTATCTCTCTCCATATCTCAGTACCACATGGAGCAGACAGACTGCACGACACCATGTAGGCATATGGGGCATGTGTGAAATCGAAGCAGGCTGCATGGCACTGTGAGGGGCAGGTCATCGAATGCAGACCGGGTGACACTGCGTGGCTCAATCCAATACTACGTGCACTAGAAACGGGGCTGCCATGTACTTGTACTCGAATAGAGACTCCCTATACCGTGAAAGAGAGCCCATGCAGTACGGATTTGTACACATTTCCAAAGTCCGATCGAACGGCAGCCCCCGGTACCGCGAAATAGAGCCAGGTGGCGCCACGGTCGTCTGCGACGGGGCTGTTACCCGCTATCGCGCAGCCCTCTGAATCATCTTCGCTCTGGTCACCTGCCTGCGTGTGCATTTGAACTCCGGTGCATTTCCAAAAGACAGCACCCCCTCAAAAAAGTGGAAGTTCGGTTTCCATTTCCGAAGGCCATAGCAGCGATGGGACCCGCCCCACTACTCACCAAATGCACAAAAGACACAAAATATGGTGATGCATCTTTCTATGCTATAGCGGAAGATTCATTCTCAGTTTTGGATAGTGGAGTGAGGCCCAATGGC